AATCAACCTAAAATTAACAGATGATATTATATTAGATCACATCATATTTCTATGAAATCCATTTCAAGTCCATTATGTTATAAAATAAATCAACTCATTTACTTTTTTTAGTTATTTGAAATCCACCATTTTACTCTTTTTTAAAAACTTTTAACTCACATGCTTTCTAATTGAAATAAATTAACCCAAACTTTTATAACATTTAATAAAAATGCATTATTCTAATATCTTTATTTAATAACAAAAATACCCTCCTTTCTTATATTTTTTAAATTGGGAATTTGGTACTTAGAGTTTCAAATTTGACAATACTTTTCTAATTGCGTTTTCTTCTTCTCATTCATAATCATTTTAACTAAATATCAGTTTTGAGTGATGTTAGATACATGAATTGATTGTTTTAGAATTGGCACAACCTTGTCGAACTTCCTCAAACTGTAGTAAATCGTGGTGAGTATGTGCAATATCATGATGAAATCTAAGTTAGGATAGGTTTCAACTTGGCACCTTTTGAAGGATTTAGCAACCCAAATGGCATAATCTAAAGTCTTAATGGGACTCTCACTAGATACAATGGTACATAGTTCTTGGGATTTTAAAGGAGGAGATTTAAGGCTTGCAAAAACGGCAACATGGATGACTAAACCAAACCCTAAGTCCCAAAAAATTATCATGAATAAAAATAGAAGGGTATTTTTATCCTTGAACAAAAAGATTAAAAAAATACATTTCTATTGTCATATCATCAATATATATTCAACTGGATTAAAAATAATCCATCACACAAAAAATTTAGACTAATTTATTTTAATAGAAAAGTACGTGGATTGATTTATTTTAACATAAAAGTATATGTGTTGAAAATTTTCAAAAAAAAAAAAAAGTAAAGGGTTGGATTTCAAGTAACTTGTAAAATATGTGAATTGATTTATTTCATGATATAATGGATTTAAAATAGATTTTATGAAAATGTGACATGGCATGATGCCATCTGTTAATTTTGGA